GGGGTCTCTCAGAGTGCGGCCTAAAGACCCCGGGGAAAAGACGTTCCCGTAATTAACTTGTTTTTTTTGAGACGATAGCTTTATTTTTGGTGGTATTTAATCACCTCTGGGTTTTTTAGTTTTTCTTAAACAAACCAAAAACCACTGAAAATTTTGAAAAAAAAAAAGTTTTTCTTAGTTTTTGTTATAAAATTTTGCAAATAAGTGATTTTTCTCCTTCACTGATGTGCGCTACTGAGGCTGCAGAGATGGGAAACTGATGGACACTGATAGGTGGCACTGATGGGCACTGATGAGGAGGCACTGGTAGGTGGCACTGATGGGCATTGACAGGCATCTCTGATGGGCACTGAAAGGCAGCACTCATATATGGCATTGATAGGCAGCACTGATAGGTGGCACTGATAGGCGGCACTGACTGGCAATGTTAGGCGGCACTGACGGGCACTGATAGGCGGCACTGATGCACACTGATAGGCGGTACTGACCTGGCACTGGATAGGTAGCACTGATTGGCAGCACTGATGGGTGCCACTGACTGGCATTGATAGGTGGCACTGACTGGCACTGATGGTGTGTCACTGAAAGGCAGCTCAGATGGGTACTGATATGTGGCACTGGCAGGTGGCATGGATGAGAACTGAGAGCTGGCACGGATGGACACTGACAGGTGGCGCTGCGGGGGCTACACTGATCATCAGTGCGCTGATGATCTGCGTAGATGTCCCCACCGAGGAATGCAGATTACCAGCTCTCCTCACAAGCTGTCAGCGTGACAGCTCGTGGGGAGAGAAATGCCGATAACCGGCATTTTCCCTGTTACATGTTATCACTGTGATTGGACACAGCTGATCACATGACCGAGCCGACATCTTCGGCTTCTTTCCGTTGATCAGTGATCCGCTGTGTCCCAGGGACACAGCGCACCACCGATCGCCGCACTGCACGCTCCAGGAGCCGCACATGCAGGGTTAGAATGGGAGGACATCATATGACGTCCTCTCAGAACGAGAGAACCACCTTGCATCTGTCATATTACTATATGGCGGGCGGGAGGTGTTTAAGCTTGTTCTGTATACACTGTAGAGTTTTTTATACACAGCTCAAAAAAATTAAAGGAACACTTTGAAAACACATCAGATCTCAATGGGAAAAATATCATGCTAGATATCTATACTATATCTATATTATCAATAACATGAAATACTGTATATGGGTTAATATGAAATTCTACTACAGCATGTAAAAAAAATATTATTTAAAAGGGTTTTTTTTTCAAAATTTAAAAAAAAATAATTTTATTTATTTTTTGATTTGTTTTTCATTTCTGTGACCACGCAAAAACTGTGTAACCCCCCAAAAATTTGTTTAAAACTGGGAGGCGTAGGATTTTTTTTTATTGTTTAATTTATGGGGTTTTAAGCAAACATTTTTTTTAGGTATTAAAAAATGGGTTTCCCCTGTGTGCACTATTGTGAAAATATTGGCTATTGGCTGTAAAAACAGCCCGTGAGCCCAAAGAAAAAGGAAAAACGGGGGTTGGGGGGAGGGGCTGCGGTTTTATGGTTTCCCCCAATGGGCCACCACCCCCATAGCAAGAAGCTTGGTTTGGGGGCAAATGGTCAAGAGGGAGGAGGGCCCGGGAGTGCCTGCAGGGACCCAAAAAGAAGAGGATTGGGGCTTTCTCTGTTCAAAAAAACCCTTTCACAGAGGGAAAATAAGAAATTTATGTTGCTATAAAAAAAGATAAGTTGTCATGTTCCCGCTTTAAAATAAAACCCCCCCCCCCCCCCTCCAAAAAAAATTTAATATCAAATTTTAAAATAAAAAAAGGACACTTTAAATGCACAGCTGCCCGCCCCCACGAAAATGGAGCCCTTTTTTGTGCAAAGGGAAATTTTGAACAAACCCTTTAAAAACCCCTAAAAGTTTAGAAAGTTATTGTAATTTTTTAAAATTGTTTTCAAAAGTTTTACAAATTGTAGTTCTATTAAAAGGGAAAACCTTTGTTTATCGTCATGAAATTTCCCGTCCAGGACTGAAGGTGTGCAAATTAAAAACCCCCCCCCCCCCCCCCCAAAAAAACTTTTTTTTTTTAAAAAAAACAAAAAGAGCCCCCCAAATTTAAATTTTTTGATTTCAATTGTGCTTTAGCTAGATGTCATCCCTTTAGTGCTTAGATTTTATATGTTTTTATTTATTTACTTTCAACCCAGTCCCTGCTTCGAGGCGTTTTACAATCTGAGGCCCATAACGTACTTTCAACAAAACGTACCATTTGGGACAATTTAAACAGGAAAACAATTAACCTACCAGCATGTTTTTGGGAAAATGTCAACTTTGAATTTATTTTCTTTTTGTTCATTGAGGGACACGGGAAGTCTTACAATTTTGGGGTGGTACGGGCTGCCCAACAGGGGGTTTTTGAATACTTTTTAAAAACGCTCAAAGTTTTTTAAACCAACATTTTTCTTGTTTTTCCTATTTGGCTGGTGCTTTTTTCATAATTTTAGCTTTAAAAGAAAAAACCCCTTTATTTTTTTTTTTGCTGGTAATTTTCCCTATAATAAGGATTCCTAAATTGTTAATTCCCCGGTGTTTTTTTACCCATCAACTCATACCCTTATCCAAAAAAAGTTTTCCCCATTGTTTTGATTTTTTTGACTGTGTCTCAGCTAAAACCTGTTGGACTTTAAAAATTGTGGGGGTTAGTCTATATTTTTCCCTTAAAAGTGTTTTACTTGCTACCCCCCAATGCACCCAAAAGTCTCTCTCGCTCTCCCAGTCCCCTTTTTCCCCCTTTTATCATGAGTCCTTCTGCCCAAGTTTTTCCGGGACCCCCAAAAAGCTAAAAAAGGTGACAGGGAAGGGTCGAACCCAAACCCCCACAAAAATGCGTTGATACCCTCTTTTTGTTTAAGGAAGGGGTTTGTTATTTCCCCTTTCCAATCAGCCCCTTAGAGCTTTGTCCCAATGTTTTTAACTGCAGCCCCCCCACCCCCTGCTTTTTTTGAATGTGTAAAAAACCCTTTTTTCATCTCGGGCATTTTTGGGCTATACGGAAAAAAGCTTAGAACTTTTTGGTGGAGGAGGTTTTTTCCCCCTCTGTGTATCACCTGGGCCAGGGCGGTGCTTCCACTAGTAAAAACTAGGCGGACCCCAAGGGGCATTGCCCCCCTGGGGACCCTGGATGCAGCACAGCCGCATTCTTTGTGGGACGCTCCCACTCATGAATGCCCTTTTGGCTGGGGCAGGGGCCCCAAAGGGAAGAAAGAAAGGCAGGGAAAGATGCTGGTTGTTGGGGCCAGTTTTAGCAGCAGGCTGTGGGCCTTCAAGTGTTCCTCTCAGACTCGCCCCTTTTCCACAAATTGGCTGGCGGCTGTGATTTTTGTGGAGTTCAAGCCCTTCTTTCCCATTCATCAGCGGATGGGGGGGGAAGGGAAAATGTCTGGTGTGTCATGTCTGTGTGAGTAATACTATAATGAGTTTTCTTTAACCCCTATGAAATACCAAAATGTCTTTTCTGTGCTCACAGCATTCTTCAGTTTGATTCAACCCAAGTGACATTCACTCTTAGTACCTTTAGATACAGCATCTTTTACAGTGTCTATAACCGCTTTTTCCACGTTGATAGAATCGACTTGCCACAAGTGTCTTGCAGCGATTACGGGTATATTCGCCATTCTTCATGGGACATGCACTCCAGTTCAGTCACATTCTAAGGCTAGCGCCCTGCAATGGCATATTTTCTAGTCCCAGCAGAGGTTTCTACCATCGGATTTAAGTTGGTGACTGCGATGGCCACTCTCACAAATCAGTTCCAGCCTTTCCTTGCAACCATGCTCTAGTGGAACCTTGGAGGTATGCTTGGGATCTTTGTCCTGTTGAAAGGTCCAACGTTCCCAAGCCTCAGGTGAGTGTGACGGGAACTGCAGTCACGTTTCCATCCAATATCTCTGGTACTGAAGAGAATTATGGATACCCTTGCACACGCTGAGTTCCCTGTACACTGCAGACAGAAGCAAACACGCCCCAAAGCATGATGACCTCACACCTGCGTTCACAGTAGGCCAGGTGTTCTTTTCATCATAGGCTTGTTCTTCACTCTCCAAACACATAGCGTTGATCCAATGGGCCAAACAGTTCTAATTTTGTTTATCAGTACCACAGAAACACTATCCCACAACTTTTGTGGTTTGTCACCTGGGCTTTTGGCATACTGCCGGTCGGGATTCTTCTTATTCTTTGGAGACCGCAAGGGGGTAGCTGGGGTTCTGGCACGGGGAGGCCTTCATTAGCGCAGTTCGTGACGTTTATTGTCTGGGCTGAAACTGCTGTACCCACATCTGACAATCTTTTCTCAGATTTCCTCAGCAGTCACACGGGGTCCTTCTCTCACTTCTACGCTGTCAGGGTATTGCGCACCAGCATTCGAAGTCAGCATCTTCTTTCTGCCTACGACAGGTAGCGATTTCACCAGTGCCTTTGATGAATTTGCGAATGATGACTTCCCTAAGGTGTTTTGGTATGTTTACACACCCATTTGCATCTTCTTATAGCCATTGCCCTTCCTGTGAAGAGAAGCGCTCACTCTTCTCTTGTTCGTCCTGGACCTTCTCTTAGCCTTCACCATGTTTGTAACCACACCAGAAACAGTTAGAAGGAGTTGAGTATCCAGTCATTTTAAAGCTGCCTAATTGGTGCTTATTATGTTGATTGCTGCTCGGTGACATCCACAGGTGTTTTCAATACATGATGGAAAGCCACCTGTATGAACCTTGTTCTTCAAGGCGTGGTAGTCTTTAAGGGGTTGTAGCCTCAATTGTGGCACTGCATGGAAACCACATAAGACCCATTTTATACTACTGTCTTACATAAAACAATATATGATATTCATTTTTAGTTGCATTTGGGTAGTTACATCGTCCTTGTAGTATTGATTCTGAATACAATTCCAATATGTTACACTATGTCCCTAAACCCTTTACAGCATTTGGGGGTTGAATAATTTTGGTCACAATGTATACTGATCCAACGTGAAAAAACCCAAAAAATTAAATACAAATAGTGTATTCCTTAATTAAAATCAAATGGGCAATAGTGTCATGACACCCTGTCTGTGGGAGTGTTATTGGTGGCCGGTATCTCAATGTGCAAATTTTGTCAGTGAGTGATTTCATCATCTGATCCCACATTGCTCTTCTAGTGCCTGTGATCTGTGTTGGTGGGGGGTTTTAAAAAACAATAAAGATTTAAATAAAAAATTTGTCGCTGCGTATTTGTGATGCTGACTTTTTTTTTTTTATGGTGTGTTTTCCCCTTTGAGAAGTTTAAAAACTATAAGTCTCATCTCTTTTGCATGATATCCATAATACAGTAAATCCATTACCCCTTTTTTTGCACTTTGGGGGAACAGTTTGCTTTTTGTTCCCCATAAAAAAGGGGTCGGAGACTTTGGGGCTTTCTGCAATAAAAACGGCCATGGTTTCTCGCTTGTCTGGCGAACTTTGACTTTCCACCCGCCCATGGGGGAAACCACGTTTAGGCGAACAGGTCCTGCTGTCTATCCTCTGTAAAAGGGGGACCCTTTTTCCTGGT